CCCCAAAACCCCAAAACCCCAAAACCCCAAAACCCCATGAGTCACAAATTTGATTGAAACCTGAATTGTTAAATTTTTACTATCTTATAATTGATTTATTTGTGATACTTAAGATCTTCTCAGAAATCGGCCTTGTTTTGGTCTTTTAAATATCTTAGGAGTAAAAGATTCATGTGAGGCTTGTTTTAGTGCTGACTGCTACATCTTAGAAGTAACGGCTCGGGACTTATCATTCTTGAGTTTATGCCAATGTGTAGTCGAGGATTTGCAAAGGATGGCTAAAGAATGAATCTAAAATCCTGAAAAATCTCCTTTTACAATGTTAGAGGAAGCATATGCAATATTAGAGTTTAGGAGAAGGATTTGTTGTGAGTTAATAAAATCTCTGACTTTCAGAAAATTTACTCTTTCAAGGGACGATACAGCCAGGCTCCTGTTTTTGTTAAGATAAAAGCTTAATTAGAGTATCTTTTATGAATGAGCTCTCTCCCAACGAGAGCACAATTCAGTTGAATTCATAAATAAACTCTTTTTAAAATCGCGGGTGCCTTACTAGCTTGTTGACCGTTAATGAGATTACCTTGCAACCTAAAAATGTGCCTATTTTGATCTTCTCTTGTATTATCTCTTTGTTCTGGACAGACAAAGAAGATTCTATTTCAAAATTATGTGTTTGGAAGAATCCCCAAGAGATGCCTAGCTTAATTTTAATCATTTAGTTTTTACCTCAACTTCGAGTAAAGAATCTGTATTAAAAAGCACCTTCTATGATCTACATCAAGAGTTCTCTTCATAAGGTTCAACGGTAAGACCTCAAGAACTAAGCAAAGCATAGTTCTTGAAAAGCGAACCCATCTTTGGAATCTAAAATCTTAATGTAGTTTTCACATAGTTCAAAAATACTCAATGACGTAATAAATGCAGTAGAATTAAGTTTTAGGGAATTAATAACTCCATAGCCTGGTTCTGGAACCTGCCAAAGTGCTACTTTTACTATGGGGAATAAGTAGTCTTACTGAATGACTGAGAGCAAAGAATTCTTATGCAAAATAAGGCAAATAGATTATTATGGGGATCTAGATTTTCGTCAAAAATGTGTTCGATATATTGCCTATTGTGCGGAGAAAACAAGGGTCAGGGTTGTAGGAAATGAGCTGATTTATTGTTAAACAGTGAGAATTTTAAATAATCCTGTACGTTAAGAAACATAAGAGAGGTAGTTCTTACGCTTCAGGAACTTTAACATCAGAGTTACTTTATAGAGGAGGCATAAAAACGAGCATGGGAGTGTTTTTAGATACTTCGATAATTATGAAAATGACACTGGGATATCTTAAAAACAAAATAATAACAGCCTAGTGCTCTCAGATTGAGTAAAAACTTCTGCTTCTAATATTCTGAATATTATCACTTGAGTTGGTATTTACTGACTAGAATTCAGGTAATAATGGTCCTTTCATAGTATAATTTTTATGAATTTCTGAGCTTTATATAAACATATCTTCATTCGTCTTCACTTGAAATCCCTTTTGGTTCGCTAAAGACATAAAAGAACTCTAAATTTTAGAAGAAGGAGGCTCGCAAAAATATGAAAATGTTTCAAAAATTTGCGGAGAAAATGGCATTATTGTTCAATACCTCTTGAACTATTTTTTGTACACTCTAAAATTGCCAAATAAAATGATTTAGAAAGACTTTGTTTATGGATATCTGAAGGAACACGATCTATCACATATTGCTTACCCTGGCTTCTCTTTAAGAGCTCATTTCAAAGAAATTTCATTAATTTCAAAGTTAAGAATTATGAAATAATTCGAAGTAAACTGCTTTTCTATAACCAAAAATTTTAGGAAGCTTAAGGAAGTAAGAATAACGATCAGGCAAAGATAAGGATGTCAATGAAGCCTCTTCTTTAGTATTCCTACTTGCTTGTTAGATTAGGAGGTGAACTTAACTGAGTGTTGCTAGCTTTTTCAAAGTTTTTATCCTCTCTGTTTCCCCACTTAGCAATTTAGAGTTCCTTATCTCTTGGTGTCTTGGCTTGCAATGCTTCAAAATAGGCCGAATTTCGACGAACAAGAGGTTGTGGCTTACTTGCCAATAATCCTTATTTTAAATTCCCATCAGTAATTCATAAACTATCATGTTTTATTTAAGATTTAGACACTATAAAGAATAAGCCTGTGACGCATTTATTTTTTAATAAATACTATTCTGAGTGAGCAAGCCAATGAGCAGCTTCAGCCATAAATGTTTCAAAAATAGAGAATTATGAAAGTCAGCACATTCAGAGGTATACTGGGATGCTGAAAAAGCCACCATCTTCCATTTTATTAATGAACTGCTTCTTATCTCATGACTCACTGAAAGCTAGGAACTTCTGAGAAGATCTCTAGATGCTGTTTCAGAAATTTTTACTAAAGAGAAAGAGTTGCGTTCAAATTGCTCTAAATTTTCTGAGAATGTAACTTTGGTCTATTCTTAATAAGAAAAATTCATTAAATTTATAGAAATTGCGTGAGTCACGAATATACCTTTCACATTCTTATATAGTTGAAATTACGTATCTTCTGAATATATTCGGTATTACCAAGCAGGAGGCTGGCTTAGGCCAAGTAAACCTTCTAGTATCAAGCTAGGATCTAATTATATAACAAACAGAGCTAGTTTGAGCCTTGATGAGATTTAGAGAAAATATTCTAAAGTATTACTATTTTTTCTACAGATTTATTAAGTAGGCCACTTCTTCTTGGGGTCAACCTCTTACTATCAATTCTAATTTGAACGAAATTTCTGTGAGAACTCTCACAACATCATCGACTAGTTAAGGATACATAAACTGGTGAAAGAATTATATGGATGAAGTTATGATATCAAATTATTAGCATTTAAGAGTGTTTCCTTCATGGCCATCTCCAAGCCTAGGCTAGATATTCGAAAGTTTATTCAATATCTAGCAACTTCTGGAGTGCAGCAACAGCTCTGCCACTTGCTTGGGGTGCAATGTACCTTCACAAAATCCACAAGCTGCTTTCTTGCATACACTTCTTGAGCTTCTTAAAGGTGAAGCTTTTGTTTGCTTCATTGAACATGGTGATTTCCTTTTTAATTCTTTGTTTTCACCCCAACTCTGAATACTTTCTGATGCTAAGAATTCCAACTGTGTAATAGACCAAGTCATCAGCAAGAAGATCCTGAGGAATAATACTTGATAGAGTGGCTCTCATAGCTTCCAGTATTTCTTCTAAAGTTCAATTGATATACCTCCTGTTAGTAATTCGTGGGTTCATAGATTTGAAAAGATTCTTTAAGTACTTTTTCACAAATCTGAGAGCTCCTTTCAACTCAGCATCGACTCTATTCTGAGACTTCGGGTTTCTTTGGACTTGACTGATGCTGAAGGAAATGTGTTGATCTCTTATTTCTTCCAAATTCGAGTTTGAAGTACATAATGAAGGCTCTCAATGATAAAGTAGCTTAGTATTTTTCATTTGTGACCTCGTTTTTATACTCGATTTGCTAAAGATATCCTCTTTCTGTATCTCTTCGTTATCTGACTTTTGATTATTTTTCCAAAAGCTGTGGAAATCATCTGAGATTTGTTGCACAAGAAGAGGGTTAATGATCCCAAAAGTATTCCAATCTTGGAGCATTTCGCATTCCTATACGAAATTATGATTTCACAATTTATCTCAAATTAGATAAGTGATAACGGCTATTTCATCTATTAAATTTGAAAAATAGTGTAAATACTAGAACCTACACTTTGGGACTTCTGGCTTACCTTTTCTTTATCTATGGAGGAAGCAAATACATTGTCATAATAAGTATAGGATCTTGAACTATCAAATTTTTGTAATTGATATAATAATTCTGAAGAGTATGAATTTGAAATAAAATGAGCGTTCATAATAATTATTAATACCTCTACCCCATCTTAAACCCACGGGGTTTTGGGGTTTTGGGGTTTTGGGGTTTTGGGGTTTTGGGGTTTTGGGG